CTATCTATTTAGTTGAATTAAAACGGACCGATTGTGTTATTCAACAATTTTATACTTATTGTTCATGGTTTCTTTCTCAATTGTTCCCAAAAATGGATAGAAGGACAAAAAAAAATGATAGCAAAAAAACAACATATTTGTATATGATCCTTCGTTGATAGAAACAATAATACTAAAATGTCATTTGACTTGGTTCCAATGGATATTGAGGTTTAATTTTTTTTTAAAACATTGTCGTTTAACTTGATTCAATTGGATCTTGACATTTCGCCGCAACTTCCAAATTCAACATCGTCAATAAATAACTAAATAAATTAGATCCAAATAAGGGGGAAAATATTGGGTGCACCAGCTCAGCAGTATGACGTGGTGTAGCCACCCAATACCATAAGGACACGTTTTTTCCTTTTTCCCCCTTCAGCCGGTTTTTATGTTTTTTTACTTTTTTTTCTCCTTGTGGTGATTTTTCTTTTTTTCTCTCTATTCTATTGTTTCTTTTTCCTAATGTCCTTCTGCAATTCATCCCAAATTAAACTCAAAAACTCACATGCAGATTTATCTACCACTGTTCATCCTCCTTCATCGTGAATTGGTTGGAAGTCCAAATAAAATCTCCATTGCTTATGGTGGCTTCTGCGAATTTTTTATCACCAATGGACACAAGAACCCATAGAAAAGCCAAAAAAAAAGAAGGATAGTACAAGCTGTTCCAACTTCCATTGAATCATTCAATCTTCTACATCCATAACACATTCCTTCTCGTTTCATCAGAACAAACAAACCCAGACAAATAAAAAGGAAAACAATATCTTTCTCTTATGCCTCCATTTGAACTTTCTAGACTGAAAAATTACAAAGGAAAATTACATGAAGAAATTGCAAATAGATTGTAGATAAAAACCCTAATTACGATTTGCCTGAATAGAAGAATAAGGGGTGAAGACTATGAACTATCAAAACTAAAATTTGGGACCGATTCTTTCTTGAACGCCGTTGCAGCTCCTCCTCTTCTGGCGGCAATGGTAGAATCGGCGTGAACAAAGAGAGAGATAAATCTGCAAGTGATTTTTGAGTTTAATTTGGGACGAATTGCCTGAAAGAAATTAGGAGAAAGAAAGAGAGAGAAAAATAAAAAACCGGCACAAAACGTGTCGTTATGGCATTGGGCGGATGCACCACGTCATGCTCCTGAGCTGGTGCAGCTGGGTGTAGGGAGCTGCATCCACTTAATGCGCATGCAGTTACACGCATTGCGCCTGGCGTGAACAGTGCCCGCGGTTACTGTCGCAGCCTTTTCTTTGCTTTTTTGTCGTTTTATCGGTTTTTTTTTTCTTTTTGAAGTTTGGGGTTTTTTTTTGCGTTTTTTTCTCCAAATGTTATATTATACATTTATCTAGGTGAAAGGAGTTTAAAATTCTCTTTAGTTTTCAAATGATTTTATTTTATAATCTGTAAAGAATTAGAGTAAGTGTCTTTATTTTGATAATATTCGATGAGATTTATCTAACAGGATCCCTCATGAATATATTTTTTGAAAATTAAAAAAATTTATTAAATAAACTTGGTCTTCCTAAAAGGCACTCTGGTCTTACTTGTTGCTCCTAAGTGTTTTGTACAAACAGTTTGGTCTTTTTATTTGTTGCTGTAGGTCTTGACTTTTATATATTTTCGTTGGTCTTCCTAAAAAACGCAATGGCCATGCTTGTTTGTACTACTGATTTTTGGTCTTTGGTTCTTGGTCTTTGGTCTTTGCTCCTCACACACGCTCGTTGTTTACTCTGGTCTTTGGTCTTTGATTTTCGATATTTACTCTTTGTTCTTTGGTCTTTGGTCTTTGCTCCTCACACACGCTCGCTCTTTACTCTGGTCTTTGCCCTTTGGTTTTTAGTCTTCGGTCTTTGGCCTTTGCTCTTTACACACGCTCGCTTTTCACTCTGATCTTTGGTCTTTGGTCTTTGCTCATTGGTCTTTGCTCCTCACACATGCTCGTTCCGATATCTCCTCCGAAAAAAAGTTTCCAATTTATGTTCAAAGGGCAGCATAGACAGCGAAAACACCCGTAGTCGGAGGCTAGTGACTTTTTCTTCTTTTTTAAGTGTGATTTTTCCTTTCTTTTTTTTTTTTTTGGTTCAGTGGTTTTTTTAATGTGCATGATTTTTTCTTTTTTGTTTGTTTTGGTTTAGCGGGTATTTTTTTTTAATTGTGATATTGTGCACTTATCATATATAATTAGCCTCTATTTTGATTATTGAATAATGGAAAACTTCATGTGTTTTCTTTTTGCAATTTAGTTCTTTTCATTTTAGTTCTAATTTTTTACTTAATATAATTTTGAATTATAAACTAAAACCATATAAAATATACTACGCGACTTTTAAAATTATATAACAAGACCATAAAATGAATTACAATACATGAATTTTAAAATTTCATATAGTAATACCATAAAATAAATTACTATTGCATTACCTATGAAATTATATAATAAAACTATAAAACAAATTATATAATGGAACTAAGGCCATTAATACCAAGAAGTAAGACCAGATTGCCTTTTAGGAACACCAATGCAACTACATACAATTCATCGCATGCTCGCTCCGATATATCCCCTAAAAGAACGATTCTACTATATGAATGAAGTGTAAGCTCGTTGGAAGGAGGCTATGTTAGCATCTCCTGCTCTTCACACACGCCTACTCCGATATCTCCCTCGAAAAAAAGTTTCCAATTTATATTTGAAGGGCCGTGCAGGTGGCCAAAAAACACGCTAGCCGAATGTTACGCGAGCCTCTGCCGCAACTCACACACTGCAGCTCCTCACACATGTCCGCTTCGATATCTCTCCCGGAAAAAGGTTTCCAATTTATATTCGAAGGGCGGATCAGGCGGCCGAAAAGCACGCTAACCGAAGACTACGTGAGCATCTGCTGCAACTCACACACTGTCGTTCCTCACACACGTCTGCTCCGGTATCTCCCCTGAAAAAAGGTTTCAATTTATAATCGAAGAGCCGGCAGACGGCCGAATAGCACGCTAGCCGAAGGTTACGTGAGCATTTGCTGCAAAGTATCCGCTACTCCTCACACACGCCCGCTCCTCACACATGCCCACTCTTGTATCTCCCCCGAAAAAATGTTTCTAATTTATATACGAAGGGCCGCGAAGGTGGCCGAAAAGCACGCTAGCCAAAGACTACATGGGCATCTGTCACAACTCACACACGACCGCTCCTCACACACGCCCGCTCCGATATCTCCCCTTAAAAAAGGTTTCCAATTTATATACGAAGGGCCGCGCAGGCGGCCAAAAAGTACGCTAGCCGAAGACTATGTGAGCATCTGCCGTGAAGTATCTACCGCTCCTCACACACTCATGCTCCTCATACACGCCCGCTCTAATATCTCTCCCGAAAAAAAGTTTTTCAGTTTTGCCGTGCAGGCGGCCGAAAAGCACGCTAGCCGAAAGTTATGTGAGCATTTGCCGTAACTCACACACAACAGCTCCTTATATACGCTCGCTTCTCAGACACGATTGCTCCGATATCTCCCGAAAAAAAGTTTCCAATTTATATTTGAATGGCCGCGCAGGCAGCTGAAAAGTACGCTAGCCGAAAGCTACGTGAGCATCTGTCATAACTCACATACTGCCGCTCCTCACACGAGCCCGCTCCTTACACACGACTGCTCCTTACACAGGCCCGCTCCGATTTCTCTAGTCATTGGCTTTGGTTTTTGGTCTTTGCTCCTCACACACTGTCGCTCTTCACTCTTTGTTCTTTGGTCTTTGTTCTTTGATCTTTGGTTTTTAGTCTTGGGCTTTTGGTTTTTGGTCTTTACTCCTCACGCAACGCTCGCTCTTTCACTTTAGTCTTCGCTTAGCTCTTTGGTCTTTGGTATTTCCTCCTTGGTTTTTGGTTTTTGGCCTTTGGACTTTGTTTTTCACACAAGTTAACTCTTCACTCTGGTCTTTGCTCTTCGGTTTTTGGTATTTGTTCCTCACACACGCTCGCTCTTCACTCTGATCTTTGATCTTTGATCTTTAGTTTTTAGTTTTTGGTCTTTGGCCTTTTGTTTTTGTTTTTCACACACACTCGCTCTTCACTCTGGTCTTTGGTGTTCGATTTTTTGGTCTTCAGCGTCTGGTCTTTGGTCTTTGGTCATCACACACGCTCGCTCTTCATTTTGATCTTTGGTTTTTGGTCTTTGCTCTTTGGTATTCAGTTTTTGGTCTTTGGGCTTTGGCCTTTTGTCTTTGTCCCAGGTCTTGTTCTTAGAATACACAAGTAAGACCAGAGCGTCTTTTAGGAAGACCAAACCAATTGCATAAATTTTTTAAAATTTCGAAAAATATATTCATGATGGCTTTTGTTAGATAAATCTTATTGAGTAGTATCAAATGATATAAGACACTTTGTCTAATTATTTACGGTTTAAGAAATAAAATCATTTGAAAAATTGGAAAAAAAATTGAAACCCATTTCCTAAAACTAATCAAGAGGCGCGTGTGTTTTATCTTAAGAAAAATTGGGATATGCTAAAGAAGAGGAGGTGGGCCGCGCGTGTCTTCATATTAAGTGCACCTACTTACATGAACTTAATCCTTACAGTATAATAACTCGTATTTTGTTGTCTCCCATTATTAATCCATTAATTAATTAGTGTGTCCTAAGAGTTCTATGTAACTTATGTTTCAATTTCGACGTCCGGAAAAATCATTAAGACTTCCAGAGGGGAGTGGGTTTCTCTCTCTAGGCAGCTAGTGAAGAGTGGTTTCTACGTTTTTCTTTTCTACTTTTAGCACTCTTTAATGGTGTGGATGATGTTTCCAATCTAGTTTTAAAGCTTTTTCAGTTAATTTTATTTTAACTTTTGTTATCCTACTTTCTTTTATCCATCGCATAACTTCACTTTTTTATCTTCTAAAAACACAAACCCTCTTTTTTCCTGTCTCTATTTTTTCTTCCTTTTCTGAACAGAGTTCCTAGGGTCTCATCACTAATGGAAGATACGGTCAATTGTTTTGAGAAATTTAGACTCACTGAAGAAGAGAAGGGTTTTGTAATTGGTAAAGGGGATGTGGCCAGGAGAAGGGAGGAATGTGAACGAAGTATTTTGGGGAAGATTTATGGGGTTAATACAGCAAACTTCTTTGGGGTAAGGAATCAATTTTCGAAGATTTGGAGTCCTACAGGGAGATTGACGGTGGCGGAGTTAGGAGTAAATTTCTTTCAATTTACTTTTCCAGATCTAAAGGAAAGGGACCGAGTGTTATCAGGGGGACCATGGTTCTTTAAGGAACAATTGATGGTGATACATCCATGGGCTGAGAAATTAGAGGAGGATAAAGCAAAGTTCGACCGGGCAAACATGTGGGTTCAAGTTCAGGGTCTCCCAAGTCACTGGGTCTCAAAGGAGGTTGGCTGGAAGCTAGGTAAGCTCTTCCCCAATTGTTCTAATGTCTTAATTCCAGAAAGTGGCAGTAAGTGTGGTAGAATTATTAAAATCTATGTAGAAGTGGAACTGAATAAGCAGCTCGTGAGGGGTACTAAGTTAACACTTGAGGGTGAAACTCGGTGGTTGCAATTTAGCTATGACAATCTACCTCTTTATTGTTATTATTGTGGTCATGTTGGGCATATTGAAAAGCAGTGTGAGACAAAGAAGGAGGATGCAAAAAGAGGTACAATTGATGAGGAACAATTTGGGGATTGGTTATCTGCGAGAAAACTAAAAATGGAGATTTAGAATGTCGAAGATAGAGGAATGAGGGATAGGTATTATGGAAAGTTTGTGCCAATGGGGAAGGAAAGTCTAGATCAAAATCAACAGGAGGATCAATGGAAAGGAGGAAGAGTTGGTGATAGTAGTTCAGGGGGGAGTTGGGAGGTCAGAAAGTAATTAAAGATGCTAGTGGAGACAGTTTGAGTGACAACCCTGTCGACAGGGAGGCGAATGTAAAGGATCATGCACAAATGGCACCTCAGTGGCAGGAAAGGTGTTGGGGAGTGAGGGAAATCAATTCTGAAGCAGATGCTAAAGTGGTTGTGGACGAAAGTACAGATAATCTATGGGCAGTAATACGGAAAAAGAGGGGCGTTTATTGGTAGATAATCATAAGGAACTGGACGGGGGAAAACGGTGGAGGAGGAGAGGCATAGGTGGGAAAGGGGAGAGTCAACCTATGGAGGAAGGAAACATCATGCCAGGAAACAATGAAAGTAGGAAAAGGGGTGGTGTTAGCACAGATGTGGAGTTACAGGAGTCTTTGATCAAGAAAGGGAAGGTGGAAGAGACACTGTCTAACAAATGTGCATTGGTGGGGGTAGCCAGCCATAATTGGCCCCACTGTTTTGGATGAAGATATGTTCGTGGAATTGTAGAGGGTTGGGAGGTCCCTCTACAATTTCTCAATTAAAAGAGTCTGTAAGGCTCTACCTTCCAGATGTGGTTTTTTTATGTGAGACGAAGCAACAGAAGGGTTTTGTTGGGACAGTTTGTAGGCAGTTGAAATACAGGGAGAACTGGTTCGTTCAGAATCCAGTGGGAAAATGAGGAGGACTGCTGGTATGTTGGCGTGATAATCTGGAGATTAAACAAGTTGTGTCTTCTGATTTTAGCATTGAGTTAGAAGTTCTTAATGATAGTTTGGGGCTGGTGATGTGGTTGGTTTTTGTCTATGCGAGTACTGATCTGATCGAGAGGAAAAGACAATGGGATTATCTTGTATATAGGAAGTCTTTTTGGGGGGATTTTTGGTTGGTTGGGGGTGACTTCAACGACATCAGAGACCCATCAGAAAAGAAGGGTGGTAGAGTTAGACCTGAAGGCAGTTGTACTGGTTTTAGATCGTTTATTGATGACATGGGTATGGGAGAGGTGAATTTTAGGGGAGAGCCTTTCACTTGGGCAAATAATCGAGAGGGAGAAGGTTTTGTGCAAGAGAGATTGGATAGGTTCTTTTGTTCTCCTGAATTGATGGTTACCTTTGATAAAATGGTGGTATTCCATGTAGTAAGGCAATCGTCAGATCATGCCTTACTTTTGCTTGATACCTCACCTGAGATGGTCAAAACTAAGAAAAGGTTTATCTTTGAGTCCCACTGGATAAATGAGGACGGCTGTCAAGGGGTGATAAGGGTTGCTTTCGAGAAGGACGTTGTAGGGGGATCAATGTATAGATTCCAGGAAAAACTAAAGGAGTGTAAACGTGGCCTAATCTCATGGAGAAAATGTACTAATATGAATGCACAAAGCCAAATAAAAGCACTGACTACGAAAATGGAGGCTATCCAGCAACAAGGGGCTGATAGAGATTGGCAACGATTTCATGCCCTGCAACTAAGATTAAATGCAGCCTACAAGCGAGAGGAGGAGTATTGGTGTAGAAAATCCAGAATTCAATGGTTAAAGGAAGGGGACAAGAATACCAAATTCTTCTATGCAGTGACATCAGAGAGGAGAAAGCGGAATTGTATAGAGAAGTTAGTTAGTGGAGCAGGGATTGAGGTGGTGGGTGGTGGTGGGCGAAAAGGCGATTGGTGATGAGATTGCTGGGTATTTCACTAACCTTTTCAAATCCTCTGAACCTGCAAATTGTGATGAGATCCTTGGCAAAATTCCCTGTTCAGTAACTGATTCCATGAATAGAGACTTGACAAGAGAGGTGAGGGATGAAGAAATTAAAAAGGCGATTTTTTCCATGCATCCACACAAAGCTCCAGGCCCAGACGGTATGACCCCTCTTTTTTATCAAAAAAACTGGGACCTGATAAAAAATGATTTGTTTCAAGCTGTTAAAGGTTTTTTCCATGCCAATTCTACGTTGTCTGTTTTCAATCATACTTTTGTGTCTTTGATTCCGAAAGTAAAACATCCAAAAAAAGTAGCTGATTTTAGACCTATTAGTTTATGTAATGTGGTGTATAAAATTATTTCTAAAATACTTGCTGAAAGGTTGAAACCACTCTTAGCTCGTTGCATTAGTCAGAGTCAAGCTGCTTTTATTCCCGAAAGACAAATTCTTGATAATGTGATCATTGCACATGAGTGTTTTCATTTTCTGAAACATTTGAGAACTAGATAGGATAGTTTTTTTGCTCTCAAACTTGAAATGTCTAAAGGTTATGACAGAGTAGAATGGACTTTTATTGCGAATGTTATGAGAAGGATGGGATTTAATACGAAATTTGTGGGTTGGGTGATGACTTGTGTGGAAACAGCTTCTTTTTCATTTCTAGTCAATGGTACTCCACAAAATTTTGTTAAACCCTCACGAGGCATTAGACAGGGCGATCCTTTGTCTCCCTATTTATTTTTGATTGTAGCTGAAGGACTGTCAAGTCTTATTCGGGTAGCTGTTCGTAGAGGAGTGTTAAATGGTATGAGAATTAGTAGAGCTGGTCCTATGATTACCCATCTGTTTTTTGCTGATGACTCTATTCTATTTTGTAAGGTAGAGAGTAGACATGCTTTCTGTATAAGAGACTTGTTGCATGTGTATGAGCAATGCTCAGGGCAAAAAATCAATATGGAGAAGTCTGCCATCTTTTTCAGCAAAAATACACAGAGTTCTACGAAGGTCACAATTCGTCAAATATTGATGGGAGTTTCAGAGCAAGTGAATTGCAAGTATCCTGGGGTGCCTGTGGTGGTTGGTAGATCCAAGAAACAGGTCTTCAATTTTGTGAAAGAAAGGGTTTTACAGAGGATGAAGAATTGGAAATCCACATTTCTAAGCAAAGCAGGCAAGGAGGTACTGTTGAAATCTGTTGTTATGTCATTGCCTGTATATTGTATGTCCTGTTTTAAACTACCTAAAGGCTTGTGTAAAGAAATTGCTGGTTTAGCTGCTGAGTTTTGGTGGCGTAGTGGTGAGAAGGAAAATAAGTTGCATTGGTTGTCGTGGAGGAAATTGACGAATCTTAGGGAGGATGGAGGGCTGGGGTTTAGGGATTTAGAAGCTTTTAATGATGCTTTGCTGGGCAAACAAATTTGGAGGCTCATTACTAGACCTAATCTACTGGTGTCTAGAGTTTTGAAGGGTAAGTATTTCCCGAATGCAAGTGTTCTATATACTGAACCTAAATCTGGGGATTCTTGGCTGTGGAAGGGATTATGTGCTGCAAAAAGGGTAGTGATAGAAGGAAGTAGATGGCAAGTGGGAGATGGCAGATGTATTAGAATATGGGATGACAACTGGCTGCCTTCTGAAATCATAAAAAAACCCTTTTCGGCTAGGCCAATAGGTTGTCCATCGGTGTTAGTACGAGATCTTATCTGTGTTAGCGCTGCTGGCTGGGATCTGGAGGTATTACAGCAGTTGTTCACGCCAGAGGAGGTTCATTTGATTCTGTCTATTCCACTCAGTGTAACAGGAATAAGGGATAGATTGGGGTGGAAGGCTGAAAAAGACGGGGCCTATTCTGTGAATTCAGCATATAGGATTGCAAAAAATATGCTGGATAATGGGTATGATAGAGGGGAAAGTAGTAGTGCAGCTGTGAGGGACAAATTAATTTGGAAGGGTATTTGGAAACTCAAAGTAAAGGGTAAGGTGCAACATTTTCTTTGGAGCTGCTGTAACAACACTTTAGCACTAGGAAGTAACCTACTAAGAAGAGGCATCCCTATTGATCCAAGGTGCAAGTTGTGTGGGGAGGAGTTGGAATCTGAAGAACATCTCTTCCTCCTTTGTCCAGCAGTGAAGCATATATGGGAACTAGCTCCAGTGAAGTGGGATGGCTTGGAGGCTTATACATATTCTTTTAAGGAATGGTGTTTTCATATGATGAAAGTGGGCAGTATTTGTGAAGGACAGAGAAGAATCCATTTTTCTGTATTCTTGTTATGGAATATATGGAAATAGAGAAATAATTGGCTGTTCAATACTCAGTTTCTTTCACAATGGGAGGTAGTCAATAAGGCAATGGAGGAATGGTTGGAATATGACGCTCACTGCCAGGTTCTTCCAAGTCAGATTGATCACACTAGAGTACAACAACAATTGCAGTGGAGTAAACCAGCAGAGGGGGTGATCAAATTAAATGTAAGTGCTTTATTTCAACAGTATACAGGTATAACTGGAGTAGGTATTGTCGCTAGAGATTGTAGAGGCAGTCTTCTGCAAGTTTGGGCAGTCGCTAGGGATTGTCTTCAAAATCCAGTGGTGGCAACCTTAGATGCAGTTCGAGTGGCTCTAATTTTTGCACAAATGAATTTGTGGAAGAATGTACAGGTGGAGTTAGAGGTTAAGAATTTGGTGGACTGTCTTAATGCTAAAAGGTGTCCGGTACCCGAAGCGTTAATCATAGTTGAAGATATTTACGTTTTAGAATCTTTTTTTCTTGCTTGTAATTATTCTTTTGGTCATAGATGTTGTAACAGAACTTCTTTCAGATTAGGAGCATTTATTTTGGAGGAAAATGTCCCTTGGAGCTGGAAGGAAAACTTCCCCCTTTGGCTACTAGAGGTAGCATGTATAGACACAGGATCATTTGATCCTATTTTGGCATGATGTCAATATAACTTTTCTGATTACTGGTAAAAAAAAAAAAAAAGACGTCCGGAAAAATCGATTAGTAAATTCTTTCTAAATTATTAAACTATTTCAAGTGGTCTCAAAGGGTGAACATGTGCCTGACTTTAGTATAAAAGGTATCGTTAAAAGGTAACCTTACAAACACTTAGACCGTAATTTTTTGTTCTTTTTTGCGTTAATGACATTTTATGACTAAACCGGACACATACATCTTCAATTCTTGAGATTAAAAAGAATAGTTCAATAATTTTAGTGGCATCATGGGAATGAACTCCATGCAGACCTTTCTATTCTCTATTCTCGATATGGAGAAAACTGCAGAGTGTGTAAATTTCTTAGTATTGGCTCCCAGTCCGCTGATGTCTATATAAAAGAAGACGATGAGCATCAATACCTTCTTTAACTTCTGTTTGAATGGACTGAATATGTTTCGCAAGGAAAGGCAAGAATATGGGACGATTTTTCCAGGAAATCTCCAACCAAAACTACACACTATGCCTTGCTTTGCATATTTGCTTGAAAGTCAAGTCAATACTAAGTCTATTAAATAAAAATTAATGATTGTGTTAAGGTGCTGCCAGACCTATATATTAAACCGCATACAAGAGTATAAGATTCTTGGACTAATCATCTTTTTTCTTTTTTAACCAAATATTTGTATAAGTACCTCGAGAGCAAATTGAGCCGTCTCTATTAACGAGTTTTGCAAGCTCATTCGACCAATCTATTTACTCCCTTATGATACATTATTAACTAGTGGATGCAT